AATTTGCCTTCAAATATTGACCAACGACAACCGCCGCAAGAAGAGAGAGCGTGTTTGAAGGTGGGATGAAATAAAAGTGAGACAATCATTTTCAGTAGAAGTTTCCACTTTTATATGCTTTCATAACATAGGGAGAACGCAACGCGCGTTCTGATTGTTGAGGATACTTCAATCAATGCTTTCAATAACGAGAGATATTAAAAATGTACTTACGCAGGTAACACTTGGCAGCGACGGTACGATTTCCTCGTCTGCCACGGGACCGACCCAGTAGCGCTCGCCACACTGAGCCAAATGCCCCTCTGCCAATAGGCTCGCGAAAGTTCAGACGGTCAACTGCAATCTCCCATTCATCCGTGTTTACGTTTACCTGACCCATTTCAACTTCATCTTGCTCTTCACTGAATAATTGCAGATGGAAACACGAATTTAATTTAACTATGCCTGTTACCTACCTCTCCTTATGTCTCTGAGTCTAGCTCTTTTGTATATAAAAAGGCATCCATGCGAGTGTCTATGAAATAATTTATATTAAGCCCGTCGTAAAATTCTCGTTTGCCTATGGAAAATTGTTGAAATAGGTGAAATTTGGATACTAGTTTACTCACTGAGCCCGTGCAACATCATCCCAGTGCCAGAGGTTGGATTTTTTAAAAATCACTGAATGAACACAGTATGTGGAATCTGAAGATACCTTGTGCCGACTTAGTGTTTTGCATTGTACGTCATTTGAATACCGTGCCTCTTACGTGCCTGTCTAATGGTTAGTAAATCACTAACCAACGCCAACCGAAGTGTTATCTAAATATAGGGATCGGTCTACAATCGAGTAAAAAAGTAATATTTAAAATGTGTCTGCAAGAAGGACCAAGCTAAAATACGACACAATTTTCTCGGCAGTGGCGGTTAACAGTTCTCTGCACAGACTTCTTCAAGAGTTGAGAACCTCAGGTAAAACAACATACTCAAAGTAACCATTAAACAAAGACAATATACTAACTTCAACCTGCTGGGCACCTCTTGCAAAGCTTTTTTCCAAGGATATGTAGATAAAAATGGAAGAAATGGCTTTGTCATTAACTCAGTCAAAGCCTACGACTCGTTTAAAACATCACATTGAACTTATCTTAGACTATGACTAAAACTAAAAAGGAATAAGGTGGCATGCCATGGTAACTAGCTGGATATAATTTACGACCTTCAGGTCATTTTATTAGCTAATTAATGGACTTGCGGGGAGTGAAAAGTGACCTTCGACGTCAGTTTTGGAAATGCAGAATGTGACCTGAAAAAAATAGCTCATTTAGAAACCTAAACATTGACATGTAAAAATTCACAATTACCGTATCAAAACATCCTATTTTCATCGTGTAACCTATGGCACCTCTTTAAAGTTCCTTTTACCTGTCGCACGGCGTTTTTTGATGTATGCATTGAGAGCCAGCAGGAAAATGACAGCAGCCACAGGTCCGCCAATGTAATACCACTCCAGTGAACTGCTGGAAGGAACTGCTGGGGCTGGCGCATTCCATGTAGGAAGCAGTTTAGTTTATTAACAAAGGAAACCAGTGTCGTTAATTCTCGGGGTATAAAGTTAAAGGGGTAGAATTATTTATCTATTTGTCTTGGCAGAATGAGGCAGATTTGCCATTTGCCAAAATTACAACTAAGAATATAAAAAAATTCTTTACGGTTCCAGTACTTTGAAGTTTTAATTTAATCTCTTGGTGATCGTATCAAAAGGACTCCACAGATCGGTTGTGTATCCCGACCTATTCATCCCCACGCTCATAGTTGAGATTCTCAATTGTGCGTCGCATAAATAATTGATGGATTTGCGTCTTGCTTTTTCAGCTGCCTGTCATCGAGTTTTTAAAAATTACGCGCGGAAGTCTTCGTCTCAGGAATTATTCAACAACACATCGCGTAGAATGCCCATTTTTCTCAAAATATTTTACATGCAGTAGCCAAAAAAGTTATAAATCTGCGATATCAGCGGCCAAGCGTATACTAGTTGGTTTTCATTGGTCTTGATTTTGTGCTCCTTCCTTCACAGGAAATACAGCACTCGCCTATTCATTTGTAGAAAAGAAGGAAGAAGCATAATATTTTGTCCATTGATGGAAGGAGAGAGAGATGGGTTGGTGGTAACAAACATTCAATACAGTACAATAGGAAATGACTTGAAAATACAATGTGACTTAAACACTGACCAGCGAGTTTCCTTCGTGCCATTATGTTTACCATTGCATCAGCAGATCTACTGCCAGTTTGGTTGAACGCCTCACATGAATATTTACCGCTCTCACCAGGCTCAGTATCTGATATGGTGATATTGCTCTTAATTTCCCTTTCTCGATTTTGACTATTGCGTTTTGAATGTTTGTGGCACCATCATTCTTTTTTCCAGTTTACATTCTTTGCTTTCTGGAATAGGCAAGTCAATTTGAGTTTTCCTCCTTCCAATATGGAAGGTAGCTCTTTTGGAAATATTTTGATGGTGGGTAGTTCTGTGAGGACAAATATGATACACCTCCAATGACTATGACATGCACCGAAAGACATATTCATATTTTTTGGATATCAGAGTTACCTCTAGTAGGGGTAGCGCTGATGTCCAAAAAATATGCCGATTCTTTTTTAAAGGTATTTTATTTAATTATTTATCTATTTTTTTGGTGAGACTGCTTTTAAAGTGGTTAAAAACTCCGTGTAAAAGTAAATGTAAATTGGAAAAGTACCCGAAATACAAAAAATATCTTCATAACAAATGATATAGTCATTTCCACGTATGAGATGCTGCTATTGTTTCTAACTTTGTTTTGATTTGATGATTTTAGTTTCAAGAAGATGAAAAAGAAAACAACAACAACAATGGAAAAGTTTAGAAACATAAAAGGTTTTAGTTTACAGCAATGGCCTTGCAGTCACACTGGTTTACCTTCTACGTCCAATGTCACAGAAGAGCGAGCCACAGTTCCTAGCTTGTTACTTGCTTCACAAGAATATTCACCACTGTCCTCTTCCACAACGTTAGTAATAACAAGTGTACTCTTTGTCTCATCTAATCGGGTATCTATAAGTGCTCGTTCTTTTAATGATTCTCCATCTTTTTTCCAAGTTATGCTTATGGTTTCCACATTGACTTTGCAGGTCAATGTGAGGAGTTCTCCCGTTATGAGTGTTTGATGTGTCTCTGCAAGAACTTGTGCAGAGGCTTTTCCTACATTGGGAGAGAGAAAATCGATTAAAACCGTTATGTCACTTTGAAATTACAGCTGCAGTATCAACACAAAACAAACTAACTAAGAAACAATAATATAGAAACGAACCGATCCAGATCTGGCCTTTAAATAATGTTTTTAGAACAATTAATTGACTTAGTCTCATTGCGAGTAAAAGGTTCCGTAAATGAACTCTGCGGATTGATGTGGGAGACGTAAATATCCAAAGAAATTATTTGGAATATTTGATCGCCATTTTATATTTCGTTCAGGAATAGAAGAAGTTTTTTGTGTTTCCATTACATTGTTCGTTGTCAAGATTTTTCTGTCACTCGCAGAAATTGCTTTTGAGTTTCGCTTTTCTTTTCAAATCCTTCTGCTCTACTTTGAACCTCCTGGATCTCTCTGTATCAGAGATATATCTTCGCTAAAGTGTTCCAGCTAAGATGTACGAAGCATATTTTGAAGTATTTCGTATTAATCAACAGACGATAGCGCCTGCCATTACTTACT